TTATTTCGAGTAGAACATCTAGAATATCCTTAATCTACTTCAGGTAGATTAGATTATTATACTAAGCTTTAAGATAGACATGTGAAAGACAAATATTCATACCTTAATAACAGCAGCACTATAGCATTTCATAATCCATTTAAAAGCGAATTTCTCTTCAATTGATCGTTTCCTTTTATGTAATCTGAAACTGGTTTCCGTATATCATTACAAAGTAATATTTTAGATATACGAGGATTCTATATTAACTATAAAACTTAACCAATTGTATTAAGTACGACAAACTACAGAAATCACATATTAAACTATTTTCAGATATTTATGATTTAAAAGAAAATCATTTTTAATTTCAAATGCTCTTTAATTATTTTATTGATGTATTTTGAAACACATTATTTCAATATTTTTAATTTCAACATGTTGACGGTTGACATATGAAGTAAGCTTGGATGTTGCAATTTTTGTCATCCCAGCCACTTGAACCAACTTGAAGACAGTAATCGGAACGGCTATTGGGTTGACCAGTTGCCCAATTGGTATAAGTAGCTGGATTACCAGTACCAAACCATGACCAGTAATCACCATTATCAGGATATTTGGTAGCTCCAATCCAGAATAATTCACTAGGACTAACTATTTCACTGTCACGAATCAAACTTCTTATTTCTTTTGCTTCAGCTGCAGATGTAATACTTGCCAATGTTAATCCATTATATTTGCAAATTCTCTGTGCAGTGAACCAATTCACCTATAATAAAAACAGGTATTTAAAATTTCTAATAAATTAATATATTTTTTAACCCACCTTGGCAAAAGCCCCGAGTGAATAGGATGGTACTGATCGCGCATTAAAGCCATTCATCAAACTATAATTTGATCCGTTGTTTCCAGTTAGTGATCCGTTACTTTGAAAAAAAGATCCAGAGTTATTGTTGTTGCTTCCACCATTATGACTGTTGGTATTGTTTTCTTGTGTTTGTTGTGCTACAACAATATATAGAAAAGCAACTATATGCATCAAATATATTAAGAATTTCATCATCAGACAAATAACAAAGCCGAACTATTTTCTTTCAGAGCCCAAAGTTATATTTATACCCGTTTTTTGTTTAAAGAATTGTTAAAATTTGTCCATCAATCATTGTGAAAGACAATTTGACACAGCGATGTTTTAAAACTGAGTATTTTTAAATTAGTAAATATATATAACAATATTGAATATTATATCAAATACGTTATGAAATGCAATGAAACATTGTATTGAAAAAAGTCAAATCAGCAAATTGAATTTTAATGATTTTATTGAATGGTATTAAAAATACATTTATCAGTGTCAATATAGACTTTTTATATAATATTAAAATAAGAAGAGTTAGGCTAAATAAAATTATCTAACCATAATTCAAAGACAACTTTATGATATGCATATTCGGAGAGTCAAGATCGGTCTTCAGAACCAGAACAACATGGAAAGGGTTAGTTTTATGTTACTTATTTTTATAAAATATTGTTCGATACACACTATATACCATTTAATATAGAGCGAGTTAAAAATTCACGACACTGAAGATCTGATCGACAATAACATTAATACTTGAAGAATTTAATACGTTGTCCTTAAATATAAGTTCTTCAACTATGACCGCACCTGAAAAGTAGAGTAGGGGACAAGAAACAAATTAAGAAAATAAAACAAAAAAGACTTTTTCGATGAAATAATTACTAAAGTTTTGTTTAACATTATATCATTATTATTTAATCATATTTTTACGAAGTCAGGTCGTTATATCAAAATCAGAAATCTGTTTTACTGCATAAAACATACATATGTTACGCTCATACCTCCGCTATGGACAAATTCCATTTAAAGGAACTTTAAATTCCATTCACCTCATGGGCCCTATTTTAATTATGGAAATATACTTTTATGTAGCCATTGCTCAATAAGCCTTTCTTGGTTACTCCGATCTTTATATATATTATCAATAAAGTCAACAGTAATAATTTAGTAATTTTATTTATGTGATGTCTTTAACGTCCTGCCCGATTTCAAAGAGTCTTTGATTTGGTTAGATTTGTTAGTTCCTAAATGATTTGCAAATGCATATACACACAGCCATAGAGATATCTCTCATTCAATTTGTATTTTCATGTTGATCAAAAAATTATATATTTAGGTCCTATATATGTCAATCACATTATGTGGGGGAAGCGTGTAATAATTTTAATCTTTAACTAAATAAAAACCATAAAAACCATAAACCATAACCATATATACAAGGTGAGATGAAAAAACTGCAACAAAGTAAAACGCCATAAATTTTTTCATTTTTTTTAAATTTTATTGAATGAAAGCAAAAAATGTCGGAAATAACATCAAATTTGAGAATCGGTTTAGATTTGTTCGAATTGGCCACCTTTGGCCCGAAAGTGGCTCTGCGGTATTTTGTCCCATTCTCGGCGAAGCGCTTGCTTGAGATGATCGACACTTTGGTATTTTTTAGTTCCAACCTTGCTTTCCAAAATACCCCAGGCACAATAGTCCAACGGATTGGCATCCGGAGATTTTGGTGGCCATTGTGCGGTGGAAATGAAGCGAGGAACCTCATTTCTTAACCATTCTTGGATGGCGCGTGCTGAGTGCGATGGTGCTGAGTCCTGTTGGAATGTCCAAGGTCTGCGGCCGAAATGTTTGCGTGCCCAGGGCTTCAGAACTCCCTCCAAAATATTTTCGCGATAGATTTGCGCATTTAATTTGACACCACGGTCGATGAATACGAGCGGCGAGCGACCATCGGCTGTTATGGCGGCCCACACCATCACCATGGCCGGCTTTTGAGTTGTGATGGCCAACCGAAGTTGCAAATTTTCAGCTGACCTCTCTGGCAAGTAAACACGATCATTTTGTTTGTTTACAAACTGCTGGATAACGAATGGTTTCTCATCGGAGAAAACCAAATTCGGCAGTTCACCACTTTCGGCCAAGCGAAACAACTCTTTAGCTTTTTCGAGTCTAACTTTTTTTTGCGCATCAGTAAGATCTTGCACTTTTTGGAACTTGAATGGCTTTAGTCCAAGCTCATTTTTCAATATTTGCCGAATGGCATATTGCGATATGTTCAGCTCACGAGCCATTTTTCGTCCACTGCGACGCGGATTTCGTTCAATTCGCTTTTTCACTTTTCGAACCATTTCTGCCGATGTTGCTGTTTTTTTTCGTCCACTTCCTTGACGTCGGGCTACGCTACCAGTATCATGGTAACGAGCGATGGTACGAGACACAAAACATTTATTCACTTCTAAATGCTGGAGGGCTCTAACGATAGCCACTTGTGGTTTTCCAGCCAAATGCAAAGCAATCACACTATCACGCTTGAATTCCATCACAAATAACTTTTTTTTTGAAAAATTCCCACCAAAATGCTTTTGTGCGCTTGTAAACAATATAATGAGCTGTCACTAGAATAAATCTGACAGCTGTGGGACGAGCGGTTTAGAAATGACAGCAGTCTGAAGTTGGTTGCAGTTTTTTCATCTCACCTTGTACCTAATAGTATAACGTTATCTTATTTTGGCATATCTTTACATGAAATCTGTCGTCTATTCTATTAAATATTCAAATATCAAGGACTTGTGTTTTTTTATGGAATGTCATATATGAAGAACGTATATATTTTTGGCAAGTATTAAAACAATACGAAAAGAGAAGGGCACCTACAAAGTGAGAAATTTATATATAAATAAATCTAACTTTCATTGATGGCATTGTTTGGAACTCATTCACCGAATGGCACAGATGATTGTCAATCTTTCTTGAAAAGAATTAATACATTAATCAATTTGGAACAGTTACAATCACCTATAAGGCGAAGAATTTATATCTAAATATTTTTATAAAATTACTTGTCATTCTTCTTTAAAAAAAATTAATAAATTAAGCAAATCGTTTAAAATTGAATGTCATTCAATAATAAAATATTGGTAGAATGTGGACGACAGATGCTGAAATTAAAATATGTAGAAGAACTCTCTTGAGAAATGACCACAGAATAACGGTAATATATATAGTTTATATTTAGTATATATAGTACATAGGTATATACTGTATATATATAGTATATATATATAGTAGGTAGTAGTTTTTGTTTGGTCATATAAAAAGCAATTTGTTTTTGGGTATGAAAAGTATATATTGAGGTTTTTTATTGCTGTCTTATTGCTAAGGAAAAACTCTTTACTTCAACTATCACATATAGAGGTTTATATATTCAATGAAAACATCAAGACTGCCCATAAGGCTTTTGAGTTTATCTATAAACGGTAACACATTGTACATATAGGCCTAAGTAAATCCCTTGGGATTGCCGGTATAATCTAACATTATTTAATAGTCAGGTTGGAAACCCTCAAAGACCCGAAGAAACCACTCACTGTTAGATACAGATATTGTATAAAAATTTGACTGAGTGAATATTTTTTCATTCTATTATGTTTTAATCGAAAGAAAACTAACAAAGTTCTAAAATGTATTTTTAATATCAGTGGTCTTATAACTAGTACTTTCAAGACTTTCCTTGTTATTATAATGCTTAGGATTAAAAAGAAGAGATTGTATTAATAATTAATAAAAAAAAATGGCTTAAGTTTTTCGCTACCAAAATGATCACTCAATTTAATTAGTATGTAATAAAAGCATATTTTTCTGAGTGTACGCACAGAAATAAATTAGATATAAAAAAATTTTTTAATATTTTATTGTAATCTAGCAATATTAATAGCCTTATGAAACAGCAATTATATATTCTAAATTAGTAGTGTATACCCAATCGATTTTTCATTGGTATACATTGGTTTATCTAACATTTAGTTTTTTGAATAAACTTTGCTGAATACCTGATATAAATAATGTGTTTTAAATAGTTTTTTAAAATAAAATTTCAATATTTCTTATTCATTTATATAATAGATTTATTTCATTATTTTTTCTTTAAATTTAATAAAATATTTTACAAAATTTCCATTTATTTATTTTTAACATTGATTTTGGCAAATGTAAAATAATTTTTTTTCACAATTGGACACAGTCCATGAATAATCCACTAAGGACATACAATGATCATTTTTATTAGCATTACCAGGCTTGCCCTTTATCCATTCATTATACACAACTGGTACGCCTGAACCAAGCCAATACCAATCACCAGTTAAAGCGTTATCAGTTCCACCAATCCAAAATTCACCTGAAGAAACACCTATAAATATAAAACTTCTTAATAAAGCTATTTTATTGATTACTAAGAAAAATATTTTACCTGCGGTATCCAAAGCATCACTTAAGTTATCATTATCATCTGCCGAAGTGATTGTAGCCAAAGTCAAGCCGTCTAAATTGCAAAGTTGTTCAGCTTTGAACCAAGATTGCTATGGAAATGGATTTAATAACGTTTTTAAAGAATATTTATTTACTTACCTTAGTGGTAGTTTTAATTGTGTAGGTTTTATTGGCAACTTCAACAGGTTCCAATGCCCCATGAACACCGAATACCAAGCAAAAGGTTACAAGAGCGAATGTGCAAAGTTGATACATTTTCTTTAGAATTCAAATTAAACACTGCATTGAATGTCTTAGGAAAATTTGGTTTTAATATATACTAAATTGTATTCCATTAATGCTCAACTTATAAAATGCTGATAGGTGATTCATCAATGTCTGCATTGACATTGAAAAATTTTATCTTGATTACTTTTTAAAATCAAACATTGTTATAAAAATCTTTTCTTCCAAATATGCAAATATTTTTAGTAATTAACTTTACTTTATATTATTGAATTACACAATAAATTTTCTCTGATAACAAAATGCTAATGACAGACTTATCTTATATAATTTGGAATACAATAAACCTTGTCTGAAAAGCAAGGCCGTCGACAGTTATATGGACAATTTTAAATTTTTTCCTTATTTATTCTGGCGCTTCGTAGGACCGCAATGAATGTTTTTAACCTTCTTTTTTTTCTTAATAGAGCATCCCATCTATATATTATTATTATTGATATCGGATGCGACAATGCGACCATCGGGTCTTTTGTGCCCCCTTCTCAGTTCAGAGTAAACCTCTAAGTCCTGTCGCTTCGATAAAAGGTAGTATAGAATCTATTTTACAGAGTTTTATCACCTCTTCTCAACTATATAACGCAACCGACAATCCGTTTTAAAATTTCAGGTTTACATAAAAAGAAATATATTATTTTATATATAAAATTAACATTGTAAAAATGTTAGTTACCGTACTCCTCCGAAACGGCTTTACCGATTTTTACCAAATTTTATATGCGTATTCAGTAGGTCTGGGAATAGGCTACTATCTATTTTTCATACCGCTAAAGTGATTAGGGTGTCTCTATCCAGCAAAAATATCTTTATTGCTTTAAAAATTTTTTATTTTTTTGACATAAATTTTGTTTATATTTTTGAAAAACAAAAATTTTTTCTTAATATTTTATGTAACTACGCCAACAAGTACATCGAGCATTACATCCACTTCGTCTTCGCCTTGCATGGCAGATGAAAAATGTACAAAAAATTTTTATAAAGATTTCACTAATGATACTAGAACAAATACCGACGAATATCCAATATATCGTCGAAGAAATCTCGATAATGGGGGACAATGGCGGGGGGTGCCGTATTCGCAAGACATACAATTGGTCGGTACAGCAGCTCCAATGAAGCTGCTTGGCGTATCTTCGATTTTCTAATTCATGAACGGGATCCAGCAGCTGTTCAGTTAGCCGTCCATCTTGAAAACGGTCAGCGTGTATTTTTCACGAACGAGACAGTGATTGATCGTGGTACAAATCCACCTAAATCTACACGCACTGCATTTTTTGAATTGTGTAATAGTAAGGATGATTTTGGTGCCTTCGCAAGAACATTACTCTATTCACAAGTACCACGCTATTTCACATGGGCTCAAACAAAAAAATGGATGCCCCGCAAGCAAGTTTCACCAGTTGATGCATGTCTCAATTTATTTAAATCGAACGCTTATTTACAGTTATAAGACAATGGTACTAACCCATTATCATTATTATTATTTACAGTCAATCCAAGACAATTTAAATTTGAAGATACAACAGTTGTTGCCAGGGAACTTGGTATAATACAAATCTATTGATTTTAAATTAATAATTTTATAAATAAACTATAATAACTTAAAAATAATATTGTTGGGCGTTTGTTATTTTTATTTTCCTTTTCGTTCATAGCGCTCCATGCCTATTTCATGCATATATAGCGCTCCATGCCTATTTCATGCATATACCACATACTTACACACTTATAATAAGTAAGTTACTTTTTGTCTACACTAGAATTTATCTAGAAACTTGTCGGGTTATCTAGTATTATATAAAAAATTCAAACATAAAGTTATAATTTTTAATATTCCATTTCAATTCAATTTCTCTGACGTTTTGAAATTTTCTTGACTTTTTTCTCAGAGTGAATTGTTTTCCCTTAAAAATTTTAAAATAATAACTTAATGATTTAGTTTTTTATTTATCTTTTAATTCAAGTATAAAGAAATCTATGAAATAAGAAAATAATATGTAGACATTTTTTTAAGCTTACTCTATTAGACGCTTTTCTACATAAGTATGATAAAAAGCTTCCTAAAAATCGGTTTGCTTCTAAATTATACTTGACGTGCTAGGAGATCTGTTCACTAACAGATTTCAATACTTAGTTTGCCTTGAAATGCACTTATTTCAATTTATGATTATGTGCACACCAAAATCACCGTAATAAGATTATGTTCACCATGACCAATGTTATCTATATAAACCATTTAACACATTTCAACAAAATACTTTAAAAAACACATTTTACAATTTTAACTAATAACCTAAAGACTTTTAGTCATGCTTCATGTATAATTCTCATATGCTTTGAGTTATAGCTTCTTATGGTACAAGCATATATACATATAATTCTCATTAGGTTCTAAAGATTTTATTTCTAAAAGTATTATGTAAATGATGCAAATTAGTCTATTTTAATATAAAATTTTTTCGGTAAATTTATCAAAGGCTATGAAGATGGAGTTCTTTTAGGAATATATACATAAGAATTTTCTAAATATCAAATGTGTTTGATTCTTACATTGAAAAAAAATTAAGATCGCATAATGCATTCCTAAATATTGTAAGATTACTATATAAAGAAAATATAATTCTTATTAAGTTCCAAAAATTTTAAATATAAGAGTAATGTAAAATGATACAAAGTGCTTTAATTTAATACAAAATTTTCTAATAATATGGAAGATTGATATGTCATCCACGGTTGCCACTTGAAAATTTTTTTCTGTACCAAAATTGGTTTAAAAAGGTACCATTTCTGTAAAAAAAGGTCCAAAATTTTCTATTGTCTTTTTATAAGAAAATACAATTTATATAAAATGTACAAAAAGTATAAAACAATACAATATCCACAATAAAGTTGGTTCGCCGAAAATGTACCATTTTTTGAACATGAGTACCAGAGTACCAAACGGAAAAAAAAGTACCAATTTTGGTACTAAAGTACCATAAGTGGCAACCGTGATGTCATCCCTTTATTTTATATAAGCATTCCGAAAATTATTTTCTGATTCGCCGATTACTTACAAATTTAATTATGATTATTATTGAGTTCCAAAGCCTAAAGTTCTGTTTAATGTAAAATAACCTTTAAACATTTTAATACATATGATTTGTGTTTGATTTGGATCTCTATAGTATCTAAAATCTATTGTGATTTTTAAACGTTTATTGATAATTAATTTCATACATTATAAAGTTTCTCTCTGCTCTCAAAGAAACAACTCAGTTAGTTTTTTTAGGGATTGTGATCACGGTTGCCACTTGAAACTTTTTTTCTGTACCAAAATTGGTTTAAAAAGGTACCATTTCTGTAAAAATAGGTCCAAAAATTTTTTGGACCTTTTTGTTTTTTTCGTTCTGTGTTTTTCATAGTGTTATAAATGAACAAAATATAAAATAGTGCAAAGTTGCATTTATAAAAAAAATTAATTGGAAATATTCACAATAAAGTTGGGTCGTCAAAAATGTACCATTTTTTGAACATGAGTACCAAACGAAAAAAAAAGTACCAATTTTGGTACTAAAGTACCATAAGTGGCAACCGTGATTGTGATACCAAAAACTCATATTCATTTAAAATAGAAATTTGTTTATAACGAGACAAGGTGGGTATTCTAAAAGTAATATGTTAAACAGAGGCTAAGATTGTCTTCCTCTAAAACCCACTTATTTTAATATGCTGGTACATATTCTAAAAGTATGTCTTAAAGAGAGGCTAGCTTCCTCCATAGCCATAACTAATCCAATGAATCAGATTTCCATAAACAATTATTTATTAAATAAAGTCATTAATATCTCTAAAAAAATTTCTATATTGTATTGGATAAAATGTAATTTGCACAGTTAGTTTGAAATATTTTTATGTTGAGGAAACTTCAAAATTGTTTGTTTTTTGCCACAAGATGCTTTCAATTTTATTTATATATATTCCAAGCATACAGATATATACTCGATTTTAATAATTTTTTTTTTTTATTTAACATGCACGTGTTTGGCAAACAAAATACGATTGAGTTTTACAATCTTTGTCGTCCCAACCGTCTTTGCGTGCTTGAACACAATAATCTGTGCGGCCATCTGGTTGTTTAGGTGCCCAGTCTGTAACCAAAGCAGGATTACCAGTTCCATACCAAGACCAAGCTTGACCATTATCCGGCGTTTTAGTAGCTCCTATCCACACTGGCTCACTAGAACTAAAGTAATCTTCACTTCGTATAAGATTTCTCAATTTTTTAGACTCGGCAGCAGTAGCTGCGGTTGCCAATGTCAAACCATAATAGTTGCATATTCTCTGGGCAGTAAACCAGTTCACCTAAAAACAAAATAAAAGTATATAAATATATATATAAATTCTACAAAATATTTTTTCTTATAAAAATCTCAACAAAATCTTTTACTTACTTTAGCAAAGGCTCCCACTGAATACTGTGTAGCAGTTACTGCTCGAGGACTGATTTGGAAGGCTATGCTGCCATTAAAACCGCCAGACCAATTACTTATGTTATTGAACAAATTTTGTAAACCCGAGCTACTACCTTGGTTTCCATTTTCATTACTTGAGTTGGTGGTACTATTCAAATAATTTAATGTATTTGAATAAATTAAGGATACATTTCCAGAGCTTGAGTCGTTAATATTTGTCTGACCAGTTGTCCATGTTAGAACAACGGTTAATGTAAGTATGAAAAATGAAAACTTCAACATTCTGAGAGAGCTTTAAGATATTAACCATACAACACTTTCTATATGCCTTTTATAATATTTTTGTGTATTTACGAAGAATCTCAATTACATAAATTTTAGTAATTAATCACTGTCAATGTCAGATATCGTATATTGAAAAAGAAGAAGTTTTACATTAAATTTATTTTATATATTACAGTAACTTATCTCTATGTATATTTAACATATACTTTAAAATTTTTCAGATTATAAAGGTTATTAAACAATAACCTTTGTTATCTTCCCGGAATGCCACATTCCTATTACAAAACCAATTTTAAAAACCCTAAATAAATTTGATAATTTTACTGATTGCTCTTTGGATAACAAAGAAAATAATATGAAAAGACAAAGAAGTCAAGAAATGGCAAAGAAGAGAAGAACTGTTTGAGAAAAAGATAAATAAAAAATTTCGGTTATAAAAAAAATATGTAAGGAAAATGGCTAAATATAGGTACAAAGGATTAAAGAGATATAGGAACTAGCGAACAATTGGAACCACATGAGGTAGGACACTTTATGGCTAAACGATCCCAAATTTAAAACATAAACAAAATAATCCGAAGACACAGGAATAGAGAAAATTAATAAAGTAAACAAAATAAAATATAAGATATAAAGAGTAGGGATATGTACAATCGATTCGAAACATGTGACCCTATGTTATGTTGGGGAAACCAAAAATGTACTTTGGAAATATAATGTATAATAATGTATGAATCATTTTTGTCGAAAGTGACGCTCCTTATGACGAAAAGAAATTATTTAAAAGTTAGAACGCTGTTTCGAGTATTGCCAAGTACTCATCATCAGTGGTCTTAGGAAATATTAAAATTTTCTTTAATTAGTTTATAGTTCGTATATAATTTGTTTGGATTGCAAGTGCCAGGCTTAAAACTATATATATTTCAATTACTGTGCAGTTATTTTCAGTGTTGTAAGCACTATATTCATTGTATGAGTCTACTGTATGAGAAGTATGTATGAGAAGTAAATCTTGATACTTGATGTACTAACAAGAACATATTAAAAGAAAAAACTACTTTTATAATAAGTAGTGTTTTGTCTAGAGCCCCTAAAAATTGTTTACTGACATTGCATTAATGAAGGTTCTCGGAAGTCTATTGCATATAAAACACTTGAACAAATAATTAATCGCAAAAAAAGAAATAACATTGCATTTTATTCTATTAAACTGTTTACATATGGCATGTAAGAAACGTACAAGATTACTTATTATCTATAAAATATTCTAAGAAATAATAAGAAAAGATATATTTAACAACAATTTAACAATAACAGAACCTTTTATTTATCTATAGATGTGTATTTAATAATAGATATTCGTATACAATTAATTTTATATAAAGTTCAGAATAAGTACAGTTTTAACCATAGTCATTTATAATGTTTCTCAGAACTTGTGTGCTTTATTTTGCTCTTGCAATCACCTTTAATTCTGGATTTGGATTATCTGATGCAGAAAAAAGAGTTAAAAGAGCAACTTTAATTGAATCATATCCAGAATTAACTGATTTGGAATCCTCGGAGGAGAATTCTGATATCTCTTTACCTGTAGCTGCAGAAGAAATTGTTCTAAGCGATTCTGAAATTCTTAACCAAAGTGACGAATTTGAACTCGTGTTGAAGAAAGGTTTCAATCCACATGTAATACTTGGTGATTATTCATATTATGTTGGAGTATATGAACAGGTTAAAAATATATATAATAGTAAGAAATGTAATAGAACTAATATTTCATATCTACAACTACTTTTAGGTATCCTGGTATCGTGCTCTCCAAGAATGTGCCTTACAAAATATGCAATTGCTCTACATCGATAATGCCCAAAATAATAGACAATTAAGAAATTTTCTAACTGAGCAAAGTAATTAATCAGATTTATTAAAAAATTCAATTTAGGTATATTATCAAATAATCTAATATCTTCTTAAAGATATCCTACCTGCACAATATTGGACTTCAGCTAATAACTTCATTCAAGATGATGAGTTCGTCTGGCTTCCAACTGGTAAAGATTTAACTTTTACAAATTGGGGACAAAATGAAACTGGTCCTTTCAGTAATTGTGTATATATAAATAAAAACTATAAATGGGGCGTCACCGACTGTTACGATGATCATTACTTTATATGTAAGGCACCACTTGTACCTCGCTGTGGTCCAACTGGACAATGTCATTCGTAATAACCGTATTTAAAGAATATTTTATGAATAATTAAAGCTAAAATTATAAATTGCACATAGTATGATGTTTCAAGAAATTTTGTAACCAATAAAAATGATAAAATTTGCATATATAAGGGTAAAAAATATATATCTTAAAAATATTTATGTAGTGGTAATTCTAGTTACACTTTGACAGCTATATAATACTGTATTTATACATCACTCCACCTACTAAACATAATATATATAATATAATTAATCTACGGATGAATATTATAGTGATCAGAGCAACTTTAATTTCGGTACCCTTAAATGTAACGATAATCAATGATAATTATATTATATTCTTATTAATTTGAAAAAATCAGCACAGAAAGGAAACCGTTCATACTCTATGTGTACTATATTAACTTCAAAGGAGCAGGGCAACCCTTTGTGAGTTGGTATAGGTATAAATATAATGCTTGTATGATGTGTTGTTATCAAAATATATATTTTATCGGCTTCTTGCATACTTATTGTATCAGTCACTTTAACACTATATATTGAGTGGTTACTCAACACATACACGTTATGTACGTTAAAGACTAATCCATCTACACTGGCAAAAGTCAATGTAGTTCTTACATCGAATGTGAAAAGGCAAAAAATTGCATTTCAAAATATTAATCTTGAAACAATATATGTTTTTTGATTTAAACAGAGTATCATAAGAGCTATATAGAATGTACGCACTATTTCGCAGCCGTGCTAGTATAAGACGGGGCCTAGCTGTACTAGGCCTAGCGAAAAGAGATGGATGAACCACTGAGTACAGGCGATGCGCTCAATTCAGAACAAAGTGTATCATTTTTTGAAATCAGGTGATTTGATTTGTACGATGGCTACAGAATCAGAACTTAACATGCGAAAATAAAATGCTATAACAAAGCGTTTTTTGTGGTTTATAAAATCCAGATAATAAATTATTTAATTTAGGCTATATTATAATACCGGCATGTTATTTTGGTATATTATTTACAATCTGTTTTGCTAATTTGTATCCGACTAATTCATCTTAGTTTCTACAATAAATTATAATTAGGTTATTTATTAGGACTATTCTCAAAATATTTCCCACATCTCCATTTTTTGAAAAAGATCTATTAATTGGTGCTTTTTTAGCTTTATTTCTTAATAACAAATTATCAGTAATGAAAATAAAAATTAAACGAAATTTAAAATTAAATAAGAGGGTACTAAATTTATTTTTAATCGAATTATAGACTGACAAAAAAAAAGGTGCTCGAAAAGAAAATCTTTAGTCGGGAACTATTTTTCTGTGATCGTCCTCCAAATATAGATATTCTATTGGTTTTATAACTCATACTAAGTCATACATTTATATTCATTATTTTAAAAATTTTAAGTAATTATGACGAGAATTCGGTATATTATCAGTACCTGGTTCTAGAATTGAATTTCGGTATCAACTTTGTGATAAACACTATAATTGGTTAGCTGATTGTAGTGGCCCTATGGCTAAAATCAAATTGATAAGCTATTGATATATATACTTCTAAAAGTCAATAAAGTAGTTACTTTAAATATTGCAATAACAAAAAAATGCGTTACTTTCAGAACGAATTTCTTTACATTACAATCCCAAAATAAACCTATGATCTAAAAATCTTAAGCTTGTTTCTTTGAAAACTAAAAAATTAAAAAATTAGCTCTCAAAAAAAAATTTGTCTCTAACCAAAAGTCGAAATGTATTAAAGGTCTTCTAAATTCTACAAACCTAAAAAATTCAGTGACTGTGGATAGCGATTTTATTAATAAAATAATAAGAAACAAATATTACTAGACCTCAGCGCTTGTTCTTTAAACCCAGTAAATATATATATCGTATATAGGTAAATCTTAACTTCCCCAATTTGTAAATATGCACTTTTTCTTTTTATGTATATATTATTAAATCAGTATGAAAATTATGGTTTTAGTTTTATGTATTATTTTATTAAATATTACTTTAGAAAAAAATATCTTCAAAACTTTAATCATATAAAAATTATATATTCGAGTCACCAAAAATATACAAATAATTTTAATTATAACTATGTATATAATTAATTAATTTAAGACTATAACAAAAAGACAATCTCTTTAAGTATATCAAAGATATCCAAAAAATAAATTGATTCCAAGCACTTAAGGTACTTAATTTCATATTTTAATTAAATGAATTAAATTAACTATTTATAGATATTTACTTAAAACTTAAATTAACGTTTATATATTCTAAGATGACTATTCATTTAATATTTAATATTTTTATAAAATCAATTTAATTAATAATATTATATTATTAGGATAATTGTATAAATTTTATTATTTATTTATTAATTTATATATTATATTAATATTAATGAAATATGCATGTATTTAAAAATAATAATGCCACAGTTTTATATATAAATAACATCTTTTAATATTAATGCAATGTATGAGTTCTCAGATAGATGATCTGATATATACAAATGTAAACATAGAAGATTTGCAAAAATTTCAAATGGGCTTAGTCAAGAAAATGTTTGCAAAACATTAAATACCTATTAATATTCAGTTTTCTTTGTGATAGATTTTTATTTGGATTTTTATAAAATTTTAGATTATTGGAATATATCAAATATATTAGGACTTTCTACAAATTTTGACTTTTTCGATGTTTTCAATTATTTGTGACAAAATTTAATATTCGGAAACACTTTGTTTAAAGTTACTCTACTTTATAGAAGTGTTATAAAAAATTTTTTGTAACTTTATATATATAGATATATTTTTCTAATACATTCTACCAATTTTGTTCCTCCGGCATAAATTCTAAACTGAAACAGACACGAAACTCATATATCATCACTCAGTTTTATGGGATAGCATATTAGTACTGAAGAGCAAGAGGTCAGAAAATACAAAGTTTATATACTCTACAAAGATATATAAAATAAGGCTGAAAAAGACAAAAGAATATAATAAAAAAGTAAATTAGAAAACAATAATGGGGCTGTATAATCAACAAACCAAGTCAAGACTAATCAAACATATCGTGTTTCCACTAACGAACAGATAAGAACGGATTTGTCACTCAACCTAACAAATCTCAAAAAATAAATGTCGATGGCTATATGTAGGAAATCTTCTTTGCAATGCATACCATTGTGATCAGAAAACTTTACTTTTCTATATGAGTATTTGTAAGAAATAAGGAATACATATGATTGTATAATGTTCTTAGAACTTTTACAATGTTCTTAGAACTTTTACAATGGAATAATTATATTTATCCAGCTTATGATTCTTTCCTATCTCTCCTAAATTCTATTTCATCTTTATTTTTAACAAAGTTCTTAAACAAATCTGACACAGTTTTGTTGAGTATACATGTACCTGACAAATGAACTAAATTTACTAAAGATACTCTCATTCGCTTTTCAATTCCCCATACCCGGTACTGAAAACTTATAAAAAATATAAACAACAGCCTTGTCTCTAAAATCCAAGCACTCAGTAAGTCGAGTATTGTGGTACCCAAAGCATCGCACTAATGTACTTTTTATAATTTATCATAGTTATCTCCATTATTAGGATACAAATTTTTTATTTTTTTCTTTAAATTTGTTTCCATATGAAACAAACAGTTATATCCAATTATTTTTCTAGACTGATCGATAAGTGTAAAATTGTCAACTTTGAAGTTTATATAAAGTGATTTATTTAACATAATTGGATTTAAAGATATGCAATCAATAATTTAGTCATTTTTATGTGAAGGATTATACAAATTGTTCCGCACTTATAGACATTTATATGCTAAGTGATGTACGGATTATAGACCACCTACTGTTATTTTAAATATCTAGAACAGTGATATCACAATGAAAAAATTTCCTTACATTTTTAGTACTATATTTTATAACATAATTTATAATCTGAATAGTATGGCTTCGTAAGAAAAATTGGCTGGTATCAACTAAGCATATATTCCTCGCTATCCCTTTTGAGTACAGTCAACTAATATCTAAGTTTATTAGAAATGGCTATCTGAAACGGTTCATATATATAGAAACTATTGGATACCTGTTATTAACAGAAATACAAAATAAAGCTAATACGAGTATTTATAAATAGATGCTAGATTCTAAACTAGATCCAAGATTTCTACGTAGGGCTTTTAGAAAATTAAACAATTTCATTGCACATAAACTAATAATTTAATAGAAACATTATTTTATCTTTTAAATTAGCATTTAAATAAAACTTAAAACTATTTTTCTTTTGTCTTATAAGCTAATTGTTTTCAAATTAAATATAATCATAAATGTTTTTTTTTTAATTTCAATTTCAATGTAAAAATAAACTAATTTGTGGTTTCAGCAGAGCGTACGAGTATATAAGAAATCACTATTATATATCACTATTAATAGTACCGTCCATCGAATTTATATGACAGCGGTTGTTGCGCCGGATAATAAAGATTGTGATGTGATGAGGAACGTATTGGCAGGTGTGGACGATACATATTTGAATCATGTGCTGCTGGTGGATATTGTCTACCGCGTCTATCTTCCATATTCGCAGCTTGCCAACGTTGATAGTACCGCGTTGAGTCCTCGGAAGAGCGACGACGATGATAACGTTTTGATGATGTGGCTAAAGGTGCGGCATTGATGCGTTGATGAAAACTATTGTCATCACTATTATTACCATTTTGTCGGTATTTACGTCGTATACGTTCATCCATTGATGATGTCGGTGTGTATTGACCAACAACACCATCCAGAATATCACCATGTGAGGTACGACGACGTTGCATATGCATTACCTCGTTATCATAGCCATTTCGACGTTGTTGCTGTTGCTGCTGCTGTTGCTGTTGTTGTTTAGTTTGTTTCTGTTGATATTCATCTAATCTTTCACGCCATTCTTGTGCTGTTACTTGTTGTCCATATAGGTCTGGATGTGGTTGAAATTGTGACTGAGTATTATTGTAAAGATTATGATATGAAGAACGTCGCCAACCTTCTTCATATTGCCTTCGTGTGTTTTCGTATTCCATTGCTTGACGTTGTTGTGAACGATTCGAACTACTTTCGGATGAATCTTCACCAGACGTACCCAAACCTAAATCCTTTTCATCACCGTACGCCTTGTACGGTGCACCTAAAAAACCTTTCGAGCCATAAGGACCATTAATACCCATTGTTGGATACTGCATGTAGTATGCATTAGCAAATGGTTTTTCCATTTTGGACATTTTCATATCAGTTTCAACATCTTCAAATTCATCTTCAGCTCCATTATCAGTACCCTTCCAAGTTTGTAATGAACCTGGTCCAAAAAGTGAGAGTAGCACTGGCAACAGGAATAGACCATGCATAGCGCCAAAGAATATTACTAGAAACACCATTTTGAAGAATACAAGGAATATATAACTTTGTGCCAAAAGCAATGCAATGATGCCAAGTATTGTGGAACTTGAACCTTGAACAATTGGTAAGCCAAGTGAGTGTAGTGATTCACGTATACGCGCTTTTGGACTCTTCTTTTTCGATGACATATAAGCATAACAAATATGTGCTGTAAAATCAACCGAGAAACCAATACACATAATAAGATTAATCATTGAGATGGAGTCTAGATTGACATCCCATAATGCCATATAACCAGCTACACCCAATTCAATGGATATAACAGAAAAGGCCACCCAAAGTGAGCATAGAATGTTTGGTATGAATATATATGATATAATCATCATAATAATTGCACCTATAATCATTGCTTGTAGTGAGGTTGGTCGCACTAATTCAAATTGATCGAAGAAAACGAAGTAGGGATGGAAAATAGATGCATTAAGCGGTGAGTCCTTGCATATCTTACGCAAGTCGCGTACCATTTCTTTTTCATGATTTGTATCGGTTATGTTGACTGCTTGTATAAGAAAACGTGATGCTATGATGCGTGTATCGTTTTCATTAAATTTAACGTCTAACGAAAATGGATTACCAGGAAACAGCCAATGCTCTTTGACGGCATCTATAAAATCTTGTTCACTTTCTATGGTTAAGTTGAGATAGTCATTATTGCGATCCACAAAAGATAAAAATGAGCGTATCCAGGATTCAGTGTAGAGTGAAGAAAAAACATATGAGGTGTTTTCCAAGTTTCGTGTTAATTCCTCAATTTGATATTGTACCATTGGATCGGAGTAATTCAAGTCACCAGTAATTATAACCTACGATAATAAATTGAAAAGTTTTTATTAAATTGTTTAAAAAACAAAAATTTGTTAAAAATACTCACTTGCATTCTATAGGGAAATTCGCGATAGTAATCATCCTCTCGGTCAAAAAACTCTACAGAATATGAATCTGCAGATGATAGTTTTCTGCGCTCCAAACCTTCTTTGATTTGTGTAATCCCATAACAAGCACCGCCTAAGTATGCCGCAAATATAAGTATTATCAGCATTTTGCACCATTTGTTGTTGATGACTGAAGCAAGATTGTCTTTGAAGAAGGCCATGAACATGTGATCCTTGTTATCGATTGGATTGTCTGGATCATCATGGTTAATGCCACCAGCCATTATGGCTTTGTACAGAAAATTGCGTTTTTCTAAAAATGATAAAGAAAAAATTGTTATACGTTCATGTATCGTTAAATGAAACACAACTTTAAAGTTGTGTGATTTATGTATTCTTGTCATGTAGCTCCAACTTGTTTGCGACACTGACCCACATAAATATTCTATTCCGTTCTTGCAGTTTTCCACTGGTTTTCTTAGTTAATAGTTTTAATCAATGTCATTAAAACTAATACAGCCGTGCTGCGTGTCAAGTTGGAGTGGTGGCCGGTTTTTTCGATTTGTAACTCGTTGCATTAATCGTAATGATTACAATTTAGAAGTTGTTTTCAAATTAAAATTTTATTGAAGACAAATAACACTCAATTACTGCTAAGTCACGATACTTTTAACTAAAAATGCTAAAACTATGATTAGCATTAAATACAATGTTTAAAGTGGATTAAAACAACTTTACAAGTTTACAAAATCTCACAATTCACAGAAAACCCTACCTTATAGGGTTTTAATATTATCATAACAAAGTAGTGATTATATTAAAAACAGTTTAGCTTGCTAACCACTACTAACCCTAAAAACTGATTAAAAATAGATTTGAGAAGGAAAAAAAGATTTGGCTGAAATGAAAAACTCATGTCCGAAACTGAGATATATTTTAAGGCTAAAGAAGAATGTCGAAAGAGACTACCTGATCACATAATTCGAATTTTCCCAACATTTGTTGTTTATTGGTCATCCTACGGACTTAATAGCCGATGTATTATTTTCGTAAAATTGTTAAGAAGTAGAAGTTTATTTCATCTACGAAGAGTTTTAACTGATCGTTTTCTTATTTCTGTAAATACTAATATATCTGCCAATGGTTTCAAAACTGCACTCCATATCTGTCTTGAAAATTTATTGCAATTATACTAATGCTATTTTCGATTGGTAAATCTGGATTTAACCTAGATTTACTCTTGACCTCTCAAATTTGGTGCGCAATCGAACATTTTTGGAGTAATATAATTCTTTTGTAGTTGAGTACTTACACATATAAATACATATGTCGAAGCAAATCCACTTCATTAATTAATGAAATGTCATATGAAACAGCTGTTAATATCAGAGTAATCTTGCTACTCTGGCAAAATCTCTTGATTGTTATTATTTAATCTTAAGTGTTATGCATTTCTTTCGAGATTTATCAATCGAAAATGAAAATTACATTAAAAGTAAATCTCGATTGAAAAAGTTCCAATCGAAAACAACAATATAAATTGGTCTATCTATTAAAGAGTACAAGTATACTTTTGGGCTTATAGTTCATAAAGGGACTCAACTCCTGAAAACTGCCTTGAGAGTGATCTAAAAGTTGTCTGTTAACTTAAATTTAGTCATAAATATTAATCCGTACTATACACGGCTTGAGTAGCTCTAAAAAGTAATGGTGGATGTAATCAAGAAAAGTCATTGATTTAAATGTATCTATAAAGTTTGTGTCATTACAACTTAATTTTTTAAGGTACTCATTACAATTGCTGTGATGTCACTTCAGACATTTGTTGAAAGCGAATTACTCTGACGACAATTAAAAAAGCGGAAGCAAAATATTGAAAGACAAACTTTTCCATTTACTTTGTCGAAGTGGAAAGCACTAGAAAATAAAAACTAAACATCAAATTTAATTAAGCAATAATGTGTTGGTATGAAAATTAAAGGTCTATCCGCAAATACTTAAGCATTAACAATCACATTTAATAATGTTGCTTATGTATATTAGGCAGTGTTTATATTATCTAAACATCCCAAATGACAGCCAAACAATAAAAATTAATGACAAACAAAACTGACTACAGAAATGATTAGCTCAGAAACAGCTTTATATAAAAACCTAAAAAAATGATTGTGAAAGTTGCTAGTAGGAGTTTTTTTTAACTATTTTTTGTTGGTAACCAACAAATGTTTTCAATAAGCAACAATGACAATATCGATTTACCACACAAAGTTGAGTATAAAAAATTATAATAAACGATTTTTGCTTACCTTTTATAGCGACAGATAAGGCTTGGACCTTGCAACCGAAGATTGCATGTAAATTTCTGTGTTCGCGGTAGCCAGAAATGGCCATGCAAGCAGCGAAGAAAGTACAATGCCATAGGAAAGTGAAGCAGACAGCAAAGCCACAGTATGTACAGAAAATCTGCACGGAACGGAATGGACTTATGATGCCAATAGAGAAGGAAATCATATCGGTTAATGATGTGATTGTTATGGAAACAGCAGCTTCAGACATCATATGGCCCATGCGCTCAGCGACCGGCATCTTCGCTGGTGTGCGACGCCAAGCGGCCAACATAACGAAGGTGTCATCAATGGCAACGTCTGTAAATGATAAAAAATTTATTTAAATATGATAAAATAATAAATATATATAAACTTTTATAAATTTTTGTTTTATTAACTTTTTATTTTGTTTTTATTTTCATTTTTTTTTTTGTTGTAAAAAATAAATACCGCTCACGTACAACGGTTTTATGTGTAAGGCAGTGACATGGCCACCACATAAAAAATTCCAAAAGCATTTTCGTATATAGTATATTTCGCCTGTTGCTATTTCAATGACACCAACGGCTGCGCCAAAAATAATCCAAAAGCCGCGCTTACAACGGCCAATGATTTTGTTTATAAAATAAATTGACAATACTTACGAAATTTCCCTCATTGCCATTAAAAGGTTAATCATTGATCGCAGATCGTTGACTTTAAATGTGCAAACGAAATAATATTATGACTACTAAGGATTTCGCAACTACCTTGTTTCTTTTTAAGATATAAATCATTAAACAGAATTACTCATGTGCATTTCATAATACATATACAGGGTTTTGCCGACTTATTAGGCATAATTACAGAAAATAGGTCCTAAATCCAAAAAATAAGAAAAAATCATATAAAAGGAAAATATGCATTTTTAGTAATAATCAAAATATATAGCATTTTAAGTCAAAAAACACTTAATGTTAAAAAAGGCACCCTGTATTTTAAATTAGCGCATATTTTAGCCTAAAATGTGCTTCGACATTTAAATATAATTAACAATAGATACTTATTAAACTTTAAAACACTAATTGGGTTGAACCCATTGACATTGAGTTCCAGGCATAAACACCTGGGGCCTCTCGATACTGTGTATATGTATATAGTTTAGTTCACAATAGCTGTAGGGACAGTGAGAATATGCTTTAATAATGTGTTAATATTTTTACAGTTATTTAAGTTATTTAATTTTTGAAATGAATCAGTAAAATAAGTAATATAATGTTTTTAATATTTCAAAGATTAGAACTTGTAAATTTACCAAAATGTACCAAAATTATACATATCACAATTTTGATAAAAGTTCAACTAAAATTTGAAACAAATTGGAACTAATATTAATTGAAAAGAAAAACAAACTAAAGATCAGGAAATTTTTAATATATATTTAATAGATGTATATTTTAATAGAAACGTATTCTGGACAAGTAGCTTTTCATAGTTCCCACGATTTCAACTAAGCTCATATCTTTTATCTTCTCTTCTTATAAACTATGGGTACAGGAAAATCGTTGGATAATAAATTTAATTTATAAAATTTAATTAATACGAAATAATTAATTTAATTAATTTAACAAAAAATAATTCGAAAACCACTGATGATGGTTTTTTGGTAATACTCGAAACAGTTGTACGGTCAGCCAAAAATTCAATTAATTGAAAATAAACAAAAGTTTATGTTGTTGCAATTTAGTACTGTTTGAAACCTATCTATTAAATATAATAGTTTCTATTAAGTAAAATAATCACTACCAAAATTAAATCCCCATTGGAGTTTAAAGCTAAAGGAATCGAAAAACGCTGAATAGTTTTCTATAAATATATTATGTATTATATATATATATATAATATATATATATATTATATATATTATATTAATATATTTATTTATTAGATTTTAAAATCAAATATATGAAAAGTAATTATTTTTCAATTATTTACTTACTTATTATAAGAAATGGTGCAGCTAAATTAATTCCAATAAATTCAATTCCCAAATACATAGCAAATCCAAATGCAGCACAGGTTGACATTACAGCTGAAATATTACCCATCATACCTAACCAGGGCTTTGAACGTACTGCATCACCCATCATGCAAGTAAGTATACTGAAAGAACAAATGTTTTTTATGTGTAATAATAAACAAATAATATTTATTTTTTTATTGTTTATTAGATAAACTATTATTATTTTACTTTTATATACAATGAGATCAAATTAAAAATAAGCGAAAAAAATATTGATGTCAGATATAAAAATACAAAGATCTTATACGAATAGTAGTAGCACTACAATTATTTAATGTCTTCAAAAAACACTATTCTTTTTTCACTTACCTGAAGAAGGATATCAGAATAAATGTTGAACCAAAATATGGTACTACGGTTTTTGTATTTTTCTCTAATTCGTGATCTAAAGTACGTGACGCAAAATATGCTACTGATATATGCTTAAACATGCCCGAGTCTTCAGCTTTACCAACCACAGTCAAGAAAGTCTCCTCCCATTCGGCACCTCTGTTAATATGAAAATAAAAATTAGTTTATATATTGTGCATATTCATAATTGTAATTAATATTGTTATATCTTTATAAACAGTAGTAATTTATTTAGCTATTTTTAAAAGGTTAAAGTAATTATTGTGAATCAGCTTATCAGATGGTAGGATCTATCACTCTACAATGCATGCTCTCCAACCGTTAGTGACGGACTTAGTTTTTAAAATATCATTTCAAGAAGGGATTTAAAGACCTCCCTTTAAAGAGCATCTTAGATTTAAGATTTACTAAAGTTAGTGTTTAAGCCTTGAAATTTCATATACTGACAAAATGAGCCAAAAAGGGCCTAATGATCGCCGGTATAACCCAACCATGCTTATACCAGTTGCACATTATCTTTCAAAATATGTTAAAGAATGTTTTTTTTTGTAATATCTTCTTACATCAATCGTTAAACGACTGATCTCTGTTAAATTGGTTCCAAAAATACTAGATTAAATTCTATACATACTATACATTGCTTGTATCGTATAAAGATAAAAAATTCTGATATATTCGAGCTTGTATTTATCATCTCGGAAGAAATTTATTAGTACGGAGAAAATGAGCACCACTATATAAGAATTAAACAATTTTTTCTAACACATCCATGTTAGCTTATAACAGCTTCTCCTATTATTCGCTGAAGAAGAAATATAGTAATTTTGTAGTTACCATAAAATTTGTTCATTCTACACACCTCAGTAAAAACTGATATTATTTTAGACACGTAAAATGATGTGGAGGTATACGATACTATAACTCTATTCTTTTTAAAAGTCGTAATAGGTACTGCTAGGCCGTTATGATCTTGGATATGGTGCCCTAGAGTTTGGAGTCAATCAAGGTATACTATACTTTAATGCTACTTTTTTTAAAGATTGTAATTATTTTAAACTGTTATGGTCTTAGACGTATATAATGCTATGTTTAAAATTTCACGTCATTTTTTTCTGAAACTGGGACTTATCAGCCCGCTTGATAAGGTAGTAGGTGCCATGAAAATAGAAGAAATGGGCAGAGTGAAAGAAGAAATCGCATTGAAGATGTTTACTTAATTGCAGATTATTTAAAAAATCATAATATATAGTTTAGTGGTACTTATGATGTCTGTTTCAAAGGATCATAACTTTAAAACTGCATTTGAGAAAAATACTAACTTTGCATCTTGCCGCTTTGTATCAGCTGCCACAAAGTACACCAACTGTATGGCTGGTACACTTATGATAATATTATCTTCAGTCAATTTCGTGCCACCAAAGAATACCGGGAACGCATGCGCATCCCAAGTGACTGGATTGAACATTAATGGAAATGTTAAATTCAATTCACCAGATTCAATCTATAAAAAATTAAATCAAAGAATATTCAAAATATATTGTTATTCCAAAGTTGCATGTAGTGCGATCTTACATCATCCATGATAAAATCCAAATTTAAGATATCGTTTGAGAAGCATTCATTCTCCCAACGTGCACAAGCATCTTTGTACGTGAAGGCATCACCTTCAAAATGAACTGTGGCGTTTTGTATTATATCGTCCAGTTGTCGCAACTCCTTAAATATCTCACGTCGTATCATATTATCGTTTCCATCTTTTGGTATGACAATAACACGTCCAAAACGTCCTGGAAAAAAACGACAAAAATTAGTTAATTCTACAAATTTATTATATTATTAATTTTGTTTTTGTTTGTTTATTTAGTTAAATTATTTGAATAAAATTTTATAGTCATAGTTGTAAAGCTACAGATTTCAGAAATTCTATAAAATAACTATATATACGAGTAATACATAATCGCTTAAGAAATTTAATTTTAACTTGTAGAATTCTTCAGTTGAGCCATAGAATCACAACATGAGATTTAGTGATTTAATTCTACTCAATGAAATAGTCCAGGGGTTATTAACACATTCCAAGAATTATACTAATTTATGCGTCAACAACAATAGCGTCAACTGTGCAATTGTAGACTACGAATTAAGGCAAATCTTTATGAATTTCGCAATATTGCAGAGTCCATTGGTACTTTGGAGATTGCAAAATTCTGAAATTCTGAACAATAAGGCATTTTAGTGAAGTGAATAATAATTCATTTGGTTCGAATTACTTCAATTGAATGCTTTAGAAATGAGCATGACTGTTGCAAACTTTTGTCAAATAATTATTCAATTGATTTACAAAACCAAGATATGATTCAGTGAAAGATCTAATAAAACCATGTGAAAAATAATATTTTTTAACATTACTAACTTCGACTTTTTACAAATTTGATTTAAGTAATTGTACGAGTAATACAAAGATTTCTATCTATTTAAAGATACTAACTGCTGATATTAATGAAATAAATAGGAATAAATTAAAATATTAGTATCTTACATATATTAATTACGTCCCGAGTCATCCTTTTAGAATTTAAAATCATTTCTTAAAATGATTTTTTTATAATTCTAAATCAAAAATCTTAGAAAATTATCCTTATTCTCCTATTAACATTATACTAATTAAGCTAGTTTTATAAGGTGTAGCATTGGTTCAATATATTTATTAAGAGAAAGATATGAACATGAAGATTTCTACTCATATAAAAATAATTAATAAATATTTTTTTATTTTACCACTAATATGTTAGAATCTATGTAGTTTCTTATTTGTTAATTATATTTATTAATATACTCCTATTATCTGTTACTCATTCATACTCATTAATAGAAGCATGATATCTACTCCATGAGTTGTCGTATGAGTTATATGAGTAGATATCCTACTCCTAGTAATAATTATTAATGAGTAATAGTTAACAGGAGTAGATATCCTGCTCCTATTATCTGTTACTCATTTATACTCATTAATAGGAGCATGATATCTACTCCTATTATCTGTTATTCATTCATACTCATTAATAGGAGCATGATATCTACTCCTGTTATCTGTTATTCATTCATACTCATAAATAGGAGCAAGATATCGACTCATATTACTCATACGACAACTCATGGATTTCTGCTAGTATACTTATAATTAAAACAAAATTTAAATCATTTAATATAATTTCTTTTCGAAATCAACATATATATAAATGAGCGTGATCTGCTAGAAGTCAGCACGATTCCAAAATAGAAAACAATTACTCCTACAAAAGATCAAAACCAAGACAATATGGACCATTTTCGGGAATTCAAAGCGAATTATTTACAGTGAACTCGTTCTAGAAACTCAGAAGGTGAATGTAAAATATTATGACGACCAGAATATCGGTAACCAATAACTTGGTTTTCGTTAATCGAAATATTGAACAACAAAATGCCTTCATGATACGTAAGTTCAAGATCAAAACTGACATTATTCTAAGTGATCTATATAGAGCTGATTTCTCAACGCGTGATATCTATCTATTTTCTAAACTGAAAACTGAAATAAAATGAAATCGTTTTGATAGCAGCTATCTTATCCAAACGGCTTGAAGTGATATACTAAAGACAATTCTTTCGACCACTGAATATAAAAAATGTTTTTAAAATTTGTTGGATGTATCCAGTATTGTGTTACCTTAGACAAAGACAATTTTAAATAACCAGAAATAAAAAAACAAAAAAATTATTGTTTGAGAGTAGTTTCATCAGTTCTGGGACAGACTGTGTATGGTGGGTAAAATATTTCTATAAAAAAAATTAAGATATATAGGTTGTTAACACATCTCTACTTTTTCATTGTCAACACTCACATAACACCCAACCCAACACTCAAAAAGGATTACTTAAATTTTAAATTTCTTAGTAAGCTAGCGTATCCGAAGATTAACATATTTCTTCCGACATGACCTACTATTGGTATCTACCATCCAGACTTACACAGTAATGGCATCACAATAAGATTTGGGTATTTTCATTATATCCATGTGTATCCTAAGTTACTATTTAAGACCAATAGGTACAACAAACGAATGTTAATATTTCAATTGAATTCATATATTATATTTTTTATAAAATGATTATATTTTAACGTATCTTGTCGTATCATTTATATTTTTATTTTACCCTTTTTATAAAATTATTAGATTTTTATGCCCTCCAGAAGTACTTCGCTCAGTTTCATACATCATATCCATTTTCAACGACAATGTAGAATCGACGTTAATAAATAACAATTACTCAAGATAATATTATGCTACCTTATACACATAATAATAATTACAGATATATAAATGTTTAATATATTTATTTGCAGTTTGTAATTACTTCGTCAGTATAAACACCGAACACTTGTGCACTGCAATTAGTGGTTACGCATACGTCAAGGTGTCCGCTGTTTTGGTCTAAAGCTAATTTTTTAATATACGTAACAAGTAATTTTTTAATTTAATGTTGCTTGACTTGTAAAAATTATAAAAACAAATGTAAACATATATAAAAACAATGTATTAAAATTGTTGAAATATTTTTCAATTTTTACTGAGTTGATCTTTAATCTTCAAGATATGTTAAATCATTTTTACATGACCTCCTTTGTGGTGAATAAATGAATTCTTTTGATTAAATAAGAAAATTGAAAAACTTGAATGATGACCTACGTTAAGTTAAAAAAATTTAAGTTTTCTCACCTATTTTTATTAAAACTTAACCTATACCTGATGTACAATAAAGCAGTTGATTCTTCAGAATAGGGTTTGTAACTTTGTAATCTATACTGGCGATATTGAATATATTTATAAACGCATTTTTAATAATAGAAGATTTTATTATTGAACTTTTGATGTCCCCAGATCTTTGTATCAATAAAAAAATGGAAAAAGGTCTATATACTATATTCATAGTCACACATACCAACGTTGTAATCATTATTTTGATAAATTATTTTAATAATCATAAAACAAAGGTTATATATTTGAGCACACGTGCTGTGTGTACCACATTAATGAGGATACTGTATCTTACATATACTTTACTTTTACAATCTTTATCATAAATCTATTGTTTATAAAGTATTAAACATGATATTTTTTAAGTAGTTCATCTCATACATTAATAAATCTTCTGTGTATAACATATTTAACGAGAATACGTTATATATCTTTGAAGCACTTCATTCTATATATTACCTAGATTTACATATAATAAAATAAATCAGAGTAAAATAATATTTTTGCAATCTATATTAAGTGGTCTAGTATATAATAGAATCAACGTGACATCATTGAAGTAGTTCATCTTATATATTATTTGGATTATATACCATAGATAGACAATGAAATGATTCAAAGTAAATAATAATTTCATAATCTGTATCAAAAGCTCTAATATATTATAAAATTACAATGTTAACATTAAATCAGTTTATCTTATATATGTATTTCATTAATTTACAAAAAAAAACAATAAACGATTCGGAGTAAAATAATAATTTTTCCTGGAGCATCGAAGGAATCGAGAAAATTGATGGTTTAGCTCGGTCTGTTGTTTCCTGGATACATCACTGGAGGTACCGGTTTATATTATCCTAGAGACCATTAAGAGAAATACCTTCCTCTACTTTCGGCAACACGTCAATAACAAGCGGAAAACACTTAAGTCATGTGCAATTTCCAAGTTAGCATGGCCACCTACAATAAAAATAAAACCTCGGAACTCATCAATAATTCCTCATAATACTGACTGCAAAAGTTGTGGAAAGTTGCAGAAAAAAGAAACCATAATATAGGTATTTTCTCTGTGAATGCTCGACTTTGCCGTCTTGAAAATATAGGTTCTTAGGAGGATACTTCTTTGATAGTCTATCAGACTGTTCATCGGTGAAGACGAAAGATCTACATGGAATTATCTAAATTCGGGAGGATGAATTTGGTCTTTACTATTCTATACTAGGGTTCTTGCGAGAAATGTGGTGGCAAAACAGCGAAAAATCGCTAATTAAGGTACATGAAAGGTATCTAATGGTCTGCAACCAACCAACCATCCAACTAAAATAATAATTTAAGAATCAATATAAAAAAGTTAAGATTTATTATTATTATTATAATAATAATTATACACTGCGACCTGAAAGATCATCTGTGCAGCCTTTCGCTCAACTAGACCAATTCGAAACTTTTAAAGAATTTTTTCATAATTGTGGGCCGTATTTATTTAGGTGTTCAGGGTTCAAAACTCCACTGCCAGGGCTGGACAGACATATAGAACGTGTTCTGCTGTTTTGACAGAGTCGGCAGGAATCGTTTTCTGCTAGACCAATCTTTCTCAGATGGTATCGCAGTCTACAGTGGCATGTTAGCAGTTCCGTGTAAAGTTTGATATCTGTTCTGCTTAAGTTCAGAATAGCTCCAGCCTTTATATACTCAGGGATAAAAAGCTCTTTTGAACCTTTAAGTTCACTTTAAACGTTAAATTTATATTCAAATAATTACAAAATCCAAAGAAAAATGAGGAAATTATCATTAAAAATATCTTCAATTTATACAATGAATATATATAGTTTATATTTGATTCAATAAACTTATAAAAATTTTGTATTTCATAAAAATTCATTGAAGTTATCTTATTATATATAAATAAAAGTTAAAATAAAACCATTGATAAAATACATAAATACATTTCAACAATTTTAATTTATTAAAAAGAATAAAATTTAAGA